AGGGGAACAGTGTTGGGGAATTGGGGAAGGGGAACAGCCAAGTTGTTGTCCTTCAGTCTTAGCTGTGGAGGGTGCAGCTAGCTCAGCTCCAAGTCCAGTCGCCATCCGGCTGCCTCGTAGCCACTCAGCTCAAGGTGTCGTGTTCAATCTTAGTTGTGGGTGGGGAGGGGCTGCAGCCCACCATCCCATGGGAGTTGAACCAGCAACCTTGTTGTCAGGAGCATGTGCTCTCACCAGCTGAGCCATCCTGCTGCCTATTGGCAGCTCAGCAGCAGCCCAGCTCAGGCACAGCTCACTGGCCCATGTGGAAATCGAACCAGCGACCCTGTTGCTCAGAACTTGCACTCTTAACCAACTGAGCCACTCAGCCGTCCCAGGACTTTTGTTTTTTGAGTGAAGAAGAAAAGCTTTCAAGTTCTCCAGTTGACAGTGAAGTAGCATTAAAAAAAAAAAAAAGTTTTGTTGAGATACAGTTTACCCAGGTAAAGTATATAATTCAGTGACTTTTATATATTTTTAAATTATTTACTTTTTTCAGTTACAGTTCACATTCAATAATATTTTATATTAGTTTCAGGTGTAGAGCTTAGTGGTTAGACATTCATATAATTTATGCAGTGATTCCCTAGTGATTTTTAGTATATTCACAAAATTAAGCAAGGATCACCAACAATCAATTTCAGAAAATATTCATCACCCAAAAAGATACTCCATACTCCATTTTCCTTCCACCCCTCCCCCCCCACCAGCCCTAGGCAACCACCTATGTACTTTCTGTCTCTATGGATTTACCTGATTTGGTTATTTCATATAAATGAAAGTATTTTTGACTTGAAAGAGCTGGTATGACGTACTAGTGGTCAAGAGCACCAACTCCAGAGTTAGACTTCTTGGGTTCAAATTCTTGCTCTGCCATTTAGCAGATTTTTTTAAAAAAAGATTTTTATTAGGGAATTGGGGGATGGGAACAGCGCTAGGGAATTGGGGGAAGGGGAACAGACAAGTTGCTGTCCTTTTTGTTCTTCAGTCTAGTTGTGGAGGACATTGCTTCACTGGCCCACGGTGGCTGCTGGCTGCTCATGCTGGCTGCTGGCTACACACGGTAGCCCATGGCAACCCACTGCAGCAGGGGCTGCAGCCTACACAGTTGCCGGTGACTCATGGCAGCCCAGCTCCAGATTGAGCTGTTGTTCAGCATCTTAGCTGTAGAGGGCAGTGTCACTGGCTCTCATATGTGGGATCTGAACCAGGGCTCTCTGGCATCCCAAGCCAGCTCTTAACCAACGCGCCACTCGGCCAGCCCTAGCAGATTTATTTCTTTGGATGATTATATAACCATTCTGTGCCTTGGTTCACTCCTTACAAACAGGAATAATAATGTGACCTACCTGAGAAGCATGAAGAACAAATGAGTTAATTTATCTAAAGCATTTAGAACAATGCCTGGCACAGTAGGCACTCAATGTATATTAGTGCTTAACTCATACATTTGAATGGAAAAAAAATTACTTCTGAAATAGTGACAAAATAATGAAATAATTTTGACCCAAGATTCTATTTGATTTCTGTTCTAAGAACTTAGTTATTAGAAAAAGGATGGTGGAGGAAGGTTACAGAAATTTTCTTAGTTTAAAGAGTGTTCAATTATTCTGTTTTCTAGGCTAGTAACGATTGTGTTTGATTAATTAAAAGGGAACTTTTCCTAAAGCTGTGAGGTTTTACTGAACAGATTTGCTATTTCCTTAACACCAGCTACTTATATGGGAGAGGGTTTATGTTGCTCTTGATCAAGAACTCATGTTAAGGTGTATTTTCCTTAGAGCGCTGTCAATTCATTTTAAAATTTGTGTTGTTAATGTTTACACCTTGGTTAGTATAAAGAAAAAATCGTTTCCATTAAAATGTTCTCGCAGTTTTTAATGTTAATAATCAGAAAACTGAAATGCATACCATAACTTTTAGGTCTTTTTGGATCTTTGTGTCTCTTTAATTTTCGTAGTGAATGTATTGGGTAAGATGCTTGATGCTTGGAATTCAGTATAATTGTAGGTCACTTGTAAAGTTTTATTTTAGAATCGTTGAATGTTAACTGCTGGAAGTGACTTTAGTGATTATCTTATGATATCCCTTATTTTTGTTGACAAGGAAATTGAGAACCTGAGGTTAAGTGACTTTTGGGAAGCTAATTATTGATGGACCTGGGCCTAGATCCCATTGATTGTGGCTTCTTTTTCCTCAGATCATAACTTTTTCCTCATGATCACACTCCTTTAACCACCTTTCACATGTAATCATTATGTTACTTATGTAGTACTGCAGTCTCATGTTATATAGACAAACGGAATGAGTCATATTAACAATATTGATTTATTTTTTATGAGGATTTAGGGTGTAAGGGTTGCCCTGTCCTTTCTAGGTATCATTTTCTGTAAGGTAAATGTGAAAAATCTGGTTGCCAATCTGTAATGCCTCCTTTCCTATTATAATAGTAAGATCAAGATGGAGAACAAAGACCCTCAACAAAGCCAGACAAGGAGTTGATATTTCTTTAGTAACCTTTCGTGTGTGAAGGGACAGACCTCTGAAACATAAAATAGGATCCAAGTTCACAATGACTATGGCTAAAGCTTTTTGACCTGGTGAACTAGTTTTCTCACCAATTCTGTTCAGCTGTGGGTGCAGCTGGGCACTGGAAAGTTCTCATAGCATGTCCATGATTTGGGAATGGAGCCAGGTGGGTAGGGATATAAGGCTGTGGGAGCTTCATTACCTCCCTTCCTCAAGGCTCAGCATTCCTTACATTTCCAGATGCTATGATATCTCTTTCTTAAAATCCAGTCCATTTTCCTGCTCTGTCTTACAAAATGTCTCAGAAATTACAGTGTACTTCTCAGTGGATTTTCTTTCTTTCTTTCTTTCTTTTTTTTTTTTTTAAGATTTAAATGTTTTCCAAAAAGAAAATTGAACCATCAGTATATAAATCTGCTGAACTAAATAAAATACTGCTAGGAGCATTTTCCATTTTTTCAGGTTTCATATATTTTCCTTATTTTTATACTATCTGCTTTAAAAAGTAAAGAAACAGAATAGACCCACCATCCAGCTCCCTTTGTTTCTTCCCTCCACCACCAAAGAAATACTGGTTTCCATAATTGCATTTAGGTGTAACAGACTGAATTGCTTTTTAAATACCTTTAACGTATTATCAAGTTTCTACTTCCTTTATTTAGAACTTCATGTGTTAAATTGATATAAGTACTTCTATGTATAATAATATGTAATAATAAAATCTTGAGCACATTGCATATTTAATATCTTATTCTAAATATAGTAACTGGGAAGATTTTTGACTGACAGGTTACTTCATGTGCCTTTAACTTTTTACAGTATTTACAGTTTTCTGTAGTTAACTGCCTGACAGTTTAGGTAAAATTTACATGTTTTAAGAGGTTTGCTAAAATGATTGAAGGTTTAAAACTTTATTTTTAATTAAAATGTTTAAAATAGTAAGTCTGTTACTTAGGCTCTTCCTGAATCTGCTATATTATGTCTAAAAAAAAATGTCTCTTTGTGAAATATAAAACACATACAAGGTCAAGAAATAGAACTTTATCAGTACCTCAAAAGCCCCCTCATGTCTCCTCCCAAACACTTTCTTCTCCCCTTTAAATGTAACCACTACCCTGATTCTGACAGTAATAAGTTTCTTGCTTTTCTTTATAGTTTTATCACCCAACCTTGCATCCCTAAACACTGTAGTTTAGTATTATCTGCTGTAAAAAAAACAAAAAAACTATAAATGGATGTGAACAAATGTATTATTTTGTCTTTGATTCTTGGCTCATTATTATGCTTTTGAGTCAACATTACATGAAAACAGTTTTCAAAAAATTTTAATTACATGGGGAAAATGGAATAGGAACAATGCTAGAGGGACAAAAGACTTAAGATGTATTATTTTACTAATGACTTTGCCTCTAACGAGCTTTGAGCAAGTCACATGAACTCTCAGGATCTCCTTTTTCTTCTCTAAAACATGATGGAATGGTTTTGAATGATTGCTAGGACCCCTGTAGCTCTAACATTTGATGAAACTGGATAAATAGGTGTTATACTGTGTTATCCTTAATTTCTTTCATTTTTGTTTTCATTAGGTTGTCTTGGAGATACCCAGTTTTGTTTTAGATTTCGACAGTCTTCTGGGAGGAGGGTGTCACTGCATTGTCTCCTCGATCAATTTGACAAAGATTTACCAGTTTACTTAAAGGTTGGAAAAGTAGTAATAGAAGAATGTCCATGTGAGAGGAAACTTTAGAACTCAGTTACTGAGTTACCTCTGATAGCATTCAGAAACATTTTGCTTTTGTTTTGTTATTATATTATACTGCTGGATTTCCTAAGTGAATCTGATTCATAAAGATTCAGTATGTGAGTAAAAGAGACTTTATAAAGTGACTTTTTCAAACATATTATAGTGCCATTGTGAATTATAGAAATTTATTAGAATGCTGAGGTAATTTTTTTTTCATTTGTTAATAACTTTGTTTAGATGTGGAGGTAGCGTAGTATTATTCCATTAAATATCACTCAGAGTTGAAATTCCCTGTGGTAATCCTTACCTACTTTATGATAAAATTATAGTTTGTCTCTCTTTGATTTTTTAATGAGCTTTATTTTATAGTTGTTATTTATTAAAAATAACTTTAATAATTCAGATGATTCCAGAGTGTAGGTTTTTGTTTGATACTCCACACTTATATCTCTAACTACCTGAGGAACACTTCCATCTGGGTGTCCTATCAGCACATTCAATATGAATTTGACATAGTGTGCCTAAAATCAGCATTTACAGCTTACCTCCTTGGTTCCACTAATGACAGGAACCTTTTCCCAGTTAGCTAAGATAGTACCATTGAAATATCTTTTATAGCCATGGAAATATCTTTTCCATGACCTTTTGCTATCACTATTAATATATTCTTTAAGTGATGATAATAATAGCTACTATTTATTAGAGTTTTTTATGTTCTAGGTAGTGTATCAATCAATAAGCATATATTATCTCATTAGTCCTCCCTATAGTATTCTGAGAGCATTCCTTTTGTAGATGAAGGAATTGAGGGCTATTGAGAATTAGAAAATTGCCCAAAGATATTCCATGCATGTTTTGTTTTTTCCAACGCAGTGTATCTTACACAGTATTGCCAGCTAAAGTATACATATATATTATATAAAAATAAATAAAATTTAAAATGACTACTTATTGTTTAATGAATAAAGAGCTAATAATTATAGTACTATTTCCTTGTCCTCAATTTTTTGGGGCCTTTTCAATATCCAGCTTCATCTCCTTTCTATAAGGTGTCATGTTTTAGCCAAAATGAACTACTTTTATCTTGCTTTTTCCTGGAATAGTTTGTATTTTTCTGTTTCTGTGTGTGTTTGCTCAAACTCCTGGCCCTCTAATGTCTTTGTTTAAATCAATCCATCCTTCAATGCCTAATTCAAAACCAGCCGCCTCTTTGAAATCTTTACCGATATCCATAGACAGAGGTAATTTTTTCCCCCTTGGCCTCTTTGTAATGCTTTGTGCTTTCTTTATGGCACCTGCCCTCCTATTCTGTAATGGTCATTTTTGTACTTTTCTTATCTCTCTTACATTGTAATCTCCTTAAGGAACTGTCTTATGCATCTTTTTATGTTCTCTAACACTGTGCCTTATTCCAAGTAGGTGGTTGATAAGTATTTGTTTAAAGAATAACAGTCAAATCAGGAACTGGGCCAACATTTATTTCACTAGGGTGTTAAAGTTTCTTAAGTTTTTAAAAAAAATATAATTACCTTTCTAATTGTATGTTGATAAACATTCAAGTGCTTCATTATTGTTGAGTAAAAATGTAACTCTGTAAATTCAGATTGGCATTTAACTCCTCTTATTTTCTTTCTTGAAATTTTACATTAGGATACCTCGTTTTGTTAAGAGTGATCCCTAATTCAAAATTGTAGGCAGAATTTTAAAAAAAATTAAATATAACTTTGGGGAAAACAGAATTTGATTGTTTCCTGACTCCCATTAATTAGTACAGATATGAATAAAGAACATAAGCAGAGTAAGTTATAGGGAGAAAATATGTTCTTTAGTTCTTTAGTTACAATTATTACATCTTTGGGAAAGTTAGCAGGGTCTTATTTGTCTGTTACTGTCATAATTATTGTTAGTGTTGGTGGTAAAGCATAACTAGCTTTTTGTGTATTGCTCATAACTCAGTTCAGGTTTATATAGGAACTTGCTGTTAATAAAGGATGGTTATATATTTAATTTGTCACTTCTTTCATAGAAGGATCCTGCTTATTTTTATGGATATGTGTATTTCCGACAAATTCGAGACAAGACTCTAAAAAGAGGCTATTTTCAGAAGGTAATTTTTATGTACACTAATGGAAAAAATGTTTTTATATTGTGGTTAGAAAAATAGAAACTGTTTGAATGAACAGTCTCTAAAGTCTTTGATATTTTATCTTTAAACATACTAGAATCCATATTTTATGGGTTTTTTTTTGGATTATAGACACCTGTTCCTAGATTTTTAACTGCTATTAAATTTTGCCTTTCTGCTATCTCTGTACTAGATTCCTGACAGTAAGTTACAGATATTTATGAAACTGTCAAAAGTAGAAGAATCTGCTAATTTTTCACATTTTAGAATAAGGGAAAGAATAAACAGATTACAACATAGTTACAACTAATTAAAGCCTGCAATATCTTTTTGAAGAGCCTGTAAATACACTTTAGCAACATTTTAGTCATTACTGTTTTAACTCTAAATGTATAGCCTTTCACTTAAAAAAACTTAGTTCCGAGGGCTGGCCGAGTGGCTCAGTTGGTTAAGAGGTCGTTCAAGAGTGCGAGGTCTGAGCAACAGGGTCGCCGGTTTGATTCCTGGCCCTAGCTGAGCTGCTGCTGAGCTGTGAACAAGTGGCAGCATGGCTCGGCTAAAAAAAAATTTAGTTCTGATTTAATCCCAGCTAAAAGGGACCCCACCTTTACCTTTTGTAATCAGAATGTACCTTGACCAGTAATTGATGCTTGGTGGAAAGGTTAAAAGTAGTTTAAAATAAAAGTAGATTTAAAAAAAAATCAGCCTACTCTATCTGAAGTCATCGAAGTATAAAGTCACAAATTTTAATAAGCACGTGACTATGACCATTGAACTCTAAAATATAATAGTCATAGATCTTAGTTTGAGAAAGCATCGCAGTTTGCTTTTTTTTCCTTATTAGGAAGAGTTCATCTGGCTAATTCCTGATATTGCTTTGCTAATGACAGTAGTAGCTAGGCTTTGGAAGTTATCCACAACATTGGTCTGTTTATAGGAAATTCTTTTTCCTGAAGAACAGGAAAATCTGAATATGTTTTTACTATTAAAGTGTAGTAATAAGTTTAAACTTTCTATATTTTGCAACTGTAGTTTTATTTCCTTTTAACCATCCACCATAAAAGCCTTTCTATTTCAAAATCCATGTTTTTGGGTTTTTTTGCTGAATTTAACTTGTTAGTAATTGATTATGTAAGAAATGACAAATTATAATCATTAGGAAATTTAAAAGATTGTTTCTTTTTTTCCCCTCCAGTCTTTGGTTTTGATCAGCAAACTACCTTATATTCATTTTTTTCACACTGTACTCAAGCAGATAGCACCAGAGTATTTTGAAAAGAACGAACCTTATCTGGAAGCAGGTAAGCTAAACACTGTGTGAGTTAGTTACCTTTATGAAAGAGTTTTAAAAATTTTACTGGAGATGATCTGATAAAAATGAAGTTGACCTGAAAAATTAGTTAAGAATTTTAAGGGCCATATGGTGGGGGAGAGATGTAAACTATTCTTCTGGCATCTTTACTAGAAACACCAAAGACTGTATCTTTTTACCTCTTTTTGCAATATAGATGATGCCTATTTATTAGGATAATAATAGAAAATATTGAGTTAATAGTTCTGATACTCCTTATGTCACACTATACAAGAAGACCTCTGCCAGGTGGTGTGCTTTTGTAGCTAATTTTAGCAGTAGTAAGTGAATAAGAAAACTCTCTTTAATCCTTTTATTTTGTTTCTTTAAAAATTTTTATTAACTAATTTATACTCTAGAACATAGGTGTATTTCTGGTGAAATATAAAATATTTTCACTACTTTTGCCTTTTATCTTCCATCCTTCCCACTATATTTTTCCTGCTCTATAGAAAATAGAGTTCTAATTTCTAATGTTCCATATATAATATTTTAATATTTCCACTTATACTAAGGAAATCCTTTATTATATTTTTCAGCTTGTAATGATGTTGATCGATGGCCTGCCCCAGTGCCAGGGAAAACATTATATCTGCCTATTACAGGGGTGGTAATGAAGGTAATAACTTATATTTAATTTGCTTTTTTAAAGAGCTCTAAGAAGTTCACAGGTGAATTTTACTTTTTAACTTCCTAATAACATTCAGTCCGGTTATTGCTTTTACTTGTTTTTCTTTGATAGGAGGAGTTACAGAGATACCACAATTCATCCTGCTGCACAGAACCGTTAGTCACACCACTCCAGGGGCTACCAGTCTGTTTCACCTTATAGAGTTTGCATAAGGGGGTCATTCTTCTATAATATATGTGAATGTAAATGCCATGTAGAATTCTGTTACTCCATGGCCCTCCAGAGATGAGTGGTACTTGTAGAATTGAGTATGAATTACTAAAAATTAAAAGAAGTTAGGAAAGCCATTGGTTCTTAGTCTTAAATGATCTTAACATGTACTGTCAGAGCACACACATCCATCCTAGGGTATTGTTCTCTTTAAGTTTTCTTTCTTATTTTTTAAAACTGAATTAGCATTTTGCTCTCAGGCTTTGTATGAATGTGCTCTAAGTGCTTCTGCAATTCATTTTTTTTTTTTAATTTATTGGGGTGACAGTGGTTAGTAAAATTACATAACAGTTCGTTTTCAAGATGGAAATTTTGGCAGTGCTCTCTCTTTAGATGTGCTCATTTCTATAAGAGCTGTGTTCTGTTTTTTTCCCAGGGAAATCATCAAAAGTAGTACTCATAGCTCTGGGTTCAGAGTTCTCATCAGGCTTCCTGATTTATCCCATAGTTTGGCAAGCTTGAGAGGGTGTGTTTGGGTGTGTGTATATTAATGAAGCAAAGATTGGAACGATAAACAGGAAGCGGTATGAAGTTGATGTCCTTTTTCTGTTTTTCAGCACATGTACTTCTCATTGGGTTAGTGATTTCTGTGTGTATGGGAATATGGATTCCTTGGTTGCTTACTTTCTGTTATGACTGAAAATAAATATGACTTTAGTATTTTAATCTGACATAAATTCTTTGTTTATGTGGCTTTTTAGGCATTGCTAAGTGTATCTTTTTAGTGGCAGGATAGAACACTTCTGATCCCTCATTGTATTGGGACTGGCAAATTATAGAAATGGCATTCTTTTGTAGCCAAAGTTAATTTCTTCTTTTTCTTTTTAAGGTACGAATTCCCACATGTCATGACAAGCCTGGGACAACTCAAATAGTGCAGTTAACTCAGCAGGTAGTGTTGTACTGTGGTGGAATAATCCAGCACATATAGTCTCTTTAACAGAATTTTTAAACTAGTAAATGCAGTTTCTTGGATTTATGATTCCTTTCTGAATATTACTGAAATAACCTATTAAATAATTTTTTAATGAATTGATGATAAACTTCCTGATGGTTCTCAATTTTTTTTTCTTTTTCTTTTCTCTAGTAGAACTCAGAATTTATACTGTAATTGTGAGGACTGGGGGAAAGTAAAAATTTTTTTCAACAAAGTTTAATTTTAACAAAACTCTCTGAATGGTCAGCAGACCCCTGTTTTTAGAGTCAAAAGGACTCTAGAAGTTATGATTGCTTTTCATTTTTCCCAAAGCTACATCTATTTATGAGTGGGATTGAATTTTTCATTTGAAATGTTCTGTTAGCACTTTCATTGTTCTTTTTATTGAATAAAAATGGAGAGCAGTAGGAAAGGTAATTTTGCCCGTTATATATATCAGCCAGTATTATGGTAGCATTTCATACTGTTGCGAATTAATCTAACATCTGACTGTTGGATTAATGCTTTGTCCATGTAATCTGTGTTATCCTTGACTTGCTGCTGTGTTAGGAGAGATTGGCAAGACCCACTCTCTTTGTAGTTTCTGGAAGAAAAGAATTTTAAAAGATAGACAGGACAATATGGCTTATTAAATTAGATAAATAGCATATTTAAAAATCAATTTCATAAATTTTAATGACATCTCTATTTTTTTTTTCTCATCTCTTAGGCAGACACACATATATCTGTTGTATTACCTACTGTTCATGAGGTGGATCTTTTCAGGTAAAGAGTAAAAAATTTCAATTGCCTTTTCTCTTTTGCTTTGTGATATTAATTTCTTCAGAAAATGAATGTTCTTTATGAAGTGTGGAAAAAACTGGAAGAAAACAGTCATTATGTTTCACATGTTAAAATCAATGGTTCATCCCTGACTACATGGTATGAGCTTTGACAGTTAGGGAAATTTGGATATGGATTGGGTATTACATGGTAGAAACAAATTATGTTTTGTTTGGTTTGATGTAAGATGGTATTGTAATGATGTAAGAAAGTGCACTTTTTTTTAGAGATGCATTTTAAAGTATTTTGAGGTGAAATATCATGAAGCTTGTGTTTTATTTTGAAGTACTTCAGTAAGAGAAAGTAAATGAAGTAAAAATGGCAAAATGTTGTTAACTCTAGATGATATGTATAAGGGGGTTCTTATACTATTGTCTTTATTTTTCTGTATGTTTGAAACTTTTAAAAATGCAAAATAAAAAAAGATAATCTAGCACTTAAAAAAGAAGAAGGAAAAAGTACCAATGTTTGTGCCTTATACAGATCAGCTAAATAAGAATCTTTGGATTAGTGTCCAAGTTCCAGCTTCTACGTGGTTCTGATGTATAGCCCAGATTGAGAAACCACTGCCATGTGCAAGTAATTACTAAATACCAATACATGTATTCAGGAATCACATGAAAGATTTAGAATGGGTTTTTGGTTTCATTTTGGGTGTGTGTGTGTATGTGTGTGACCTTTAAACTGCATGGAATGCTGCTTCAGAGATTGATTAATCTTATATGCTAGATTTGTTTTATATACTTGGCCTTAGCACAGCCCAGTAATCCACTTCTAAGTATTTACCCAATAAATATGAAAACATATATCTACACAAAAACTTGTATGCAAATATTTATAGTGGCTTTATATACCAACCTAATACTGGGAACAATGCAAATGTCCATCAACTGGTAAATGGATAAACAAAAATGAGATATATGCATGTGCATGGAATACTACTCAGCAATTAAAAAAAAAGAATGAACTATTGATGTAGTCAACAACATGGATGACTTTCAGAAGCACTATGTTTTAGTGAAAGGAGCCAAATTTTGAAAAGCTACTTACTGAATGATTCCATTTATATAGTATTCTTGAAAAGCAAAATTATAGGGACAGAGATCAGTGGTTGTCTGGGAGTGGGGGAGGGAAATGGACTACAAAGGGGATGAAGGAATTTTGGGGGGTGATGGAACTTTTCTTTATCTTTGGTAAGTATGAATTTTACTGTATGTAAATTATAAATCTTAAAAACAAATTAATTTTCCTTAAAAAAATAAATGTAGCATTCTTAGAATCAAAAGGGGGAGTGTCCCCAAATAATGAATAAATATCACAGGAAACATACACTAATAGGGATACATACTACTTATAGTCTTGATACTTCATTCATTAAGGAATAAATTGAAGAATTGGCATAAGTTAGTATAGAATTTGGTAACCAGGCATGTTTTCTTTTGAACTGGTTACAAGTCTTTTTTTTTTTTAGCTGAGCCATCCCGCCACCTGTTGGCAGCTCACAGCTGCTCAGCTCGGGCTGACTCGAACCGCTGTTGCTCAGAGCTCAAACTCTTG